TCTACATGGAAATTCCGCCTGGTTTTGATTCTGTGAAGGGAGAAAATAAAGTTTGTAAATTAAAAAGGGCCTTGTATGGATTAAAGTAGTCACCTCGTGCCTGGTTTGGAAAGTTTACTAAGGTTATGATGACCTTAGGATATAAACAAAGTCAAGGAGATCACACTCTTTTTTTCAAGCACTCCCAAAATGGGAAGCTTACTGTGCTCCTTGTATATGTTGATGATATTATTATAACAGGTGATGATTTTGTGGAGAGACAGATTCTGCAAACACGGCTTGCCTCTGAGTTTGAAGTCAAAGACCTTGGGAAACTGAGATATTTCCTAGGGATAGAAGTAGCTCATTCGAGCAAAGGAATCTTTATCAGCCAGAGGAAATATGTTCTTGATCATCTTCTCAAAGAAGCAGGAAAGCTCGGGTGTAAACCCTCTAATACTCCTATTGAGCAGAATCACAAGATGGGCTATGAAGAGGAAAGTCCTCCAGTTGATAAAGGACAATATCAACGGCTAGTTGGGAAATTGATATATTTGGCACATACTAGACCAGACTTAGCTTATGTTGTTAGTGTTGTCAGTCAGTTTATGCACGATCCAAAGGAGAAACATATGCAGGCAGTAGAGAGAATTCTTCAGTATCTGAAAGGTACTCCTGGTAAAGGGTTGTTATTCCGACGTGATGGCAATCTATCTTTAGAAGTCTACACAGATGCTGATTATGCTGGATCCGTGACTGACCGTCGTTCTACCACTGGTTGTTGCATGTTTCTTTGTGGTAACTTGGTGTACATGGAGAAGTAAGAAACAAGATGTGGTCGCCAGATCAAGTGCAGAAGCTGAATTTCGAGCTATGGCTCAAGGCATTTGTGAGTTACTGTGGCTGAAAATTGTACTTGATGATCTAAAAATAAAATGTGAGGGACCTATGAAGCTGCTATGTGATAATAAGTCCGCTATTTGTATAGCTCATAATCCAGTTCAACATGATCGGACTAAACATATTGAGGTCGACCGCCATTTCATCAAAGAGAAACTTGATAGCGGGTTGATTACCACTCCATACATTCCCACTGGGCATCAATTAGCTGATCTATTGACAAATGGGCTTCCTTCAGATAGATTTCAAGAACTTGCTAGCAAGCTGTGAATGATAAATATCTATTTCTCAGCTTGAGAGGGAGTGTTGTAAATAGTAATTATGTAGTCATTTATTAGTAATTATGTAGTCATTTATTTGTATTAAATAGTAATTATATAGTCATTTATTTGTATTTATTTAGTCCGTTACTTGTATATTGGGCCAAGCCCATTAGGTCAAAATTAGGTCAAGAAGTCTCTATAAATAGAGACCCCTATGTACAGATTCAAATATGATTCAATAATATTTCAAATACCCTTTTATTTCAAGTTGTCCAAAGCATATTAACATCCTTGTTTATATAAATCACATAAAACATACCTTTAGGATATGCAAATCTTCAGTAAGGCTCCTATAGGATGTGAAAATTTTCTTTCAAAAGGCTCCTCTGAAATGTGTAAATCTTCCATATTATTCTTGAGATCAATGGAGTCAGTGTGTGGGCATTTATTTATCTTCCATCGATGGTTATGACTTATGACTTATGACATTTGTGTATATCTCTATTAGTAAAGTCTTTTTGGGCTTTGTTCTAATTTGAGTCAAAGAGCATAAATCAAATAATTCCATAAGATATATACAAAAAAAAAAAATAATAATAATAAAAAATTCCATAAGTTATTATTGAGTATTTTGATAAAGTCGTTCATAAGGCTCCCTTGGGATATGTAAATCTTGAAAGTTATTCTTGAGAAGACGAAGACAATATGTAGACACTTGTGTAATTTTCATCGACCGCTATGATCCTAATTCTTTATCAGGCTCTTTTAATATTAGTAAAGTCTTTTTGAGATTTGTTCTAATTTGAGTTCAAGAGCACAAGTCTAACAATTCTATATTACAAGAATACAAATGCATCATTTTTCCCTTTCATTCGGAGAGTGTATTTCTAGTATTGGTCAGTGAATGATGTTGTTAGCGGATAGATTATACAGTATTGCAACTGTTCTTGTTATCTATGGATGTGCCTGCTAAAGAGGCAAATACAGTTGATTATTTTGATAGGGTGAGCGAAGTATGTGATCAGGTGAGTGTCTTACTATTTCTTGGCTGAAGTTAATTTGAGTGCATTTTTCAGCTATTTTCTACTTTGTCCACATTTTGAAATCTTCAGGAGCTGGACATAAGCTTACTAAAGAAATTACATGTTTTTCATTTACACAATCAGTTATATAAGGAAGAAATGAGGGTTATGATGCCAAGAAATTCCCTTGACCATTTCACTATGGATTACTACCTTAATTTCACCCCTTAGAGCACGTATAGGAGCCACTTTCAATGATCTTTGATCAACATCGATCAAGAAGTCCAAAAAACCTTATCTCAACAAATCATATGTGGGAAAAGATAAATTTGTAATCCCACCTCCAAACGTAGTACTATATAAGCACAAGGAAGATGATTCCCAACAATAATCAAATTCAAGATCTCCACAGAGAACAAACCACAACATGATCACATAAGGTTCGGTACACAGGCATGTAAAATGATTAATTCCTCTAATATTAAAATTTCATATATGAAATTTTTGTGTCTATTTCTTTTTTCATAAATTTTCACAAATTTTCAATTTCAAACTAATCATATACATTTGTAATTCATACTAATATATTTTCACCTTCAAAATTTAGAAGATACACAATATGCCACGTATGATTTATATGACCATGTAATAATAATAATAATAATAATAATAATATATTATTATTATTATTATTATTATTATTATTATTATTACACCATTTGGAAATAATACTAATTAATTGAAATAATATGATTTAGACCTTCTCACAAGTGATATTTTAATATTTTATTTCATTTATCTATCTTGGTCTTTGGGAGTACATTATCTTTATTATTTTAGACTTGAAACATAATGTTATTTTCTTCTATTTTCTATCGACCTTTAAATACAGTAATATTACTTTACATTGATATGCGTCGCTATCATAACAAGAGTCAGAGCAGAGATGCTCTTTAAAAAGAACACACTAGCTACAAATATATAGGTTAATGGGGGAAAAGGATTTGGGTTTCTGGTTGGTATAAGATTAGAATCATAAATGAAATAAACGGCTCGCTTCTGGATCTGAACAAGGAAATGCTAAGCCTCAGAATAATTTAAAAACAACGAAACTTAAAATTTTGTCTTTCAATTTACTTTTAGTAGGTAACAATGGGATATACGTACCATGAAAGAACTTGGTTCCAAATCAATTCCCTTGGACACATGGCCTTCATTAGCTAGTTGTATGACTTCTTAATTAAATGAACAGCAACAGTGTAGGTTTTGCTGATTCATATGGTATGGGAAGAGTGAAAAGGTCTAGCATGTAAGACAAGAGACAGTCAACAAGCCAAGGATGCTTGCCAATAAACCAAACATGGGGTTCCATATCTTCAAACAAGACAAAGTCCCATGAATTGGTTAGGCTAGGCAAGCCATCCTTGGCTACCAGACATGACTCTTCATCTACATACAAGACCCCTCTCTTCTTAATTCTTATGCCAAACAGTGAATGACCAAACCCCCTATTTATAGCCACCATCATATACATCACATTGTCACATGAAATAACATTTTATTGGTATATGCTGACATATTCGTCATTATCACGAATTAAATGATGTTATTGGCCTCATCCATGACTTCTATAGCTTCTTTCTTCGTTGTCTCATACCAAAACTAACTATAGCGGTAGCCAGAGAAAGAGATTAATAAAAGAATATGTTCTGAAAACTAAGAGGGACCATCCATTTATATATATCCATCAATTAATATGAATCTGCTATGTGTTGCTCTTCTAGGCTATCGTGGCAGGTTGAAAATTGCAAGTCAACTGCAGGTACTGCAAGAGTTTGCCTGTTGATGAACCAACTTGCAACTGAATCTGTTCGTTTTGACATTCACACACTTTGAACCGCTTATCAAGTTTTTCTATTACGTTTTGTCAAGAAATATACATTTTCAATTTTTGAATTATTTCCTTGCTATTAGTTTCATAGTGATAAGCGTCACTTCAACCCAAAACTTTAAGGTATTGAGTGAAAGCCTTTTTAATACTTTTATTTTATTCTATAACACACCCCTCACGCAAGAGCTCGTTGGATTTGAAGTGTTGATATGACACAAACCCATTATTGATCTGCCTTGTGCTGCACAGGCCCATTTTTTTTTTGTCGTGCTTTTCTTAATTCCACCCGAAGTGGGGGTGGTGAAGATCGAACTCATGACCTTGTAGTCACTGAAGCTCTGATACCATGATAAGTGATATTTTCACAGGTCCTTTAATGGTGTTTCTCTCACACACAAAATACACAAGGAGTTCTCTAAATATACTTTTCTATTATTACTGATTCTGCCAAGCCAATTTTCAAGAGTTACAATGTACTTTTTATAAGCAATAGCAAATGATTAAGAATAATAATGACTAACATAGGAAATCTAAACATATTAATTATCCATTAACATATGTCTAGGGACACACCATAAACCAAAACAAAACCCTCCATATTTCTATTTTCTTTATTTAAATTAAAGATTAACCTAACAAAACTCCCCCTTAATCTTTAATATCTCTATCGTCTTTCATGTCCATCTGCTTCTTACAATTTTCTAACAGCAACGTCGGCAGTGGCTTTGTAAAGATGTCACCAACTTGATCTCGGCTTGCAACATGATTTAGCTCCACTTTTCCTTCTTTAACTTGATCCCGGATAAAATGAAATTTAACATCAATATGTTTGCTCCGCTCATGATTGACCGGGTTCTTAGCTAACTCGATCGCGGACTTGTTGTCAACTCGAATCTCGGTTGGGCCGACTTGCTCTTGCTCCAGCTTGCTTAGTAAATTCCTCAGTCATATTGCATGGCAAACACACCAAGATGCCGCAACATACTCGGCTTCACATGTAGACAGGGTCACAATGGGTTCCTTCTTCGACACCCAAGTAAACGCCGTGTTTCCCATGAAGAACACATAGCCAGCCGTGCTCTTCCTATCATCAACATCTCCGCACCAATCACTGTCTGAATAACCCGTCAGTTTGTATTTGTCCGACTTCGAGTAATGAAGTCCTTGTGAGATTGTTCCCTTCACATATCTCAGAATTCTCTTAGCCTCCTTCCAGTGAGTGTACCCCGGGTCTTCCATAAATCGACTTATGATCCCAACACTCAGACACAGATCCGGCCTTGTACATGTCAAATATCTCAGACTTCCAACTAGACTCCGGTAGTAACTTGGATCAACTCTCTCTCCTCCATCATACTTCGAGAGTTTCAAACCGGGTTCCATTGGTGTTCAAACCGGGTTGCAGTCTATCATCTTGAACTTATTCAGAATATCTTTTGCATAAGCTACTTGAGATACAAAGATCCCGGATTTGTCTTGTCTGACTTCCAGACCAAGGAAGTATCTCATCAGACCGAGATCCGTCATCTCGAACTCTTTTGTCATTTTCTTCTTGAAGTCTTTTATCATTCCTTCATCATTACCCAGAAAAATTAAATCATCAACATATAAGGCAACAAGTAAAATTTTACCTTCCTTCTTCTTTACATAGAGAGCATGTTCATACGGACACTGCTCAAATCCATCATTCTTAAAGTAATTATCAATCCTCGTGTTCCAGGCTCTTGGGGCCTGCTTCAAACCATATAAGGCTTTCTTTAATCTCAACACTTTTCTTTCTTCTCCGACTTTCATGAACCCCGGAGGTTGTTCGAGATACACATCTTCCTCGAGTACTCCATTCAAAAATGCCGATTTCACGTCCTTCTGATAGATCGACCATCCAAATCGGGCTGCTTGAGAAATCATCAGTCGTATTGTCTCCATTCTTGCCACGGGTGCAAACACCTCGTCATAGTCTACTCCAGCCTTCTGCTTATACCCTTTCGCCACTAGCCGGGCTTTGAATCTCTCTATCTCCCCCTTAGCATTCATTTTCTTCTTATAGACCCATTTTACACCAATTGGCCGACTTCCCTTTGGTAGCTCGGCTAACTCCCACGTCTTGTTATTTTCTATCGTCTTCATTTCCTCCTCCATGGCAGATTGCCATTTCTCATCTCGGACAACTTCCTCGAAGCTCAACTCCTCAGAATCTGCTAACAGACATATCTGGTGTGCTTCATTGGTTGAGTCATACAAATCTTGTAGGCTTCTCAATCTCGGTTGTCTTTGCTCTTCATCACTATCAGAGTCATTCGGATTCTCTGGAATCGGGGTCGAATGTTGTCCGACCTCAATTGATATGTGTCCGAGTTCCACATTGACACCGGATGGACTACTCTAGTCTCATCCATCTTCCTCATTTACTTTCACATCTCGGCTCACCAACACCCTTTTACTGACGGGGTCCAGCAACTTATACCCCTTCGTCTTCTCATCATAACCAATGAATACGAACTTCTTACTTTTGTCTTCAAGCTTCGTCCTCAACTGATCCGGTATGTGTGCATACACAACACTCCCAAAATTTTTAAAATGACCCACTGAGGGCTTCAAACCACTCCACGCTTCCTGCAGGGTTTTATCATTCAGACTCGAATGAGCACATCGGTTTTGCACGTACACTGCACACTGTACGGCTTCTCCCCAGAACTCCTTTGGCATGTTCTTTGTCTTCAACATGGATCGGACCATATCCAAGATAGTCTGGTTCTTTCTCTCAGCTACTCCATTCTGCTGGGGTGAGTATGGCGCAGTTAGAAACTGCCTTATCCCGTGTTCTTCACAATATCTTTTAAACGCTATTGACACATATTCCCCACCTCGGTCTGAATGGACCGATTTGATGTATCTTCCAGTTTTATTTTCAATCATCACTTTAAACCTCTTAAAGGTATCCAGCACCTCAGATTTTTCTTTCAGAAAATAAACCCAAGTCTTACGACTAAAGTCATCAATAAATGAGACAAAATACTTTTTTCCACTGAAGGACCCTGGAGTTATGGGTTCACACAGGTCGGTATGAATAAGTTTCAGAGGCTGCTTAGCCCGGTATCTCGCTGTCCTTTAGAATGGGCTCCTTGCATGTTTTCCCAATACGCAGTCCTCACAAAACTTTCCTTCAGAATTTATCTTCGGCAGTCCCACCACCATGTTCTTCTTTATCATCTCGGTCAGACCACCATAATGAAGGTGTCCAAACCATCTATGCCAAAAATCCATCTTATCTTCTACCTCGGCTTGCAGACAGCCGACCTCCAAGCTCCTCACTTTCAGTTTGTACATCCTATTCTTCTCCATCTGAACTCGGGCTATCAACTGTCCTTGCTTATCTTTCAACAGTAGAACTCGGTCTGTCATTAGAACCGAGTAACCCTTCTCCATCAGTTGTCCAATGCTCAATATGTTACTCTTGAGCTCGGGCACGTAATACACATCCTGAATCGTTCCAACCTGTCCGTCCCTTTGTAGAAAGCAGATCGTACCACGACCTTTTACATCAATTTTGGACGCGTCTCCGAAAGAGACATGTCCGGCTTCCACCGTGCACAGTACAACACCCTTTCCTCGTGCTAATTAAAGCGTTCGATGCACTTGAACTGGTTCTGGCCAAGCATGCTACTCAGATACTATTGCCAAACTTTTTATGAGTTATAGCTCCCATCTACGACTTAATTATAACCCATGCATGGTTTTCACCCAAAAGAAGGATTCCTCCATCTATATAAGCCATTTTTTAGAGGATTTTCAGATCTCTTGACATCTTTGGAAATCTTTGATATTAGGGAAGCATGTTTGCTCATATTTTCATGTTTTTAAGAAGCGAAATCGAGTTAGAGACAAGATTAAGCTGGAATTTGTGAAGAGTATTTATTGTGTCTTCATATGAACGGAGCTTGGGAAAACTTTTACTTGTATTATTGTTTTTACCATGTCTAGCTAGTTTTCTTTGTAGTTAAGGTTAGATGGAACCTAGTTGAACTTTTATGTTTCTGAATTAATCTATATGCAATCTTTCCTTTTTACATTGAAGAATTTACATGTTCTTGATACATTCTATGAATTCTTTATCTTATAGATTGAATTAGGATTCGTGTACGACAATAGGTATGTTGGTATATGAATCAGAGTTAGTAAATTCATAATTAATTTGTATGAATCTAAGGATAGACATGAATTGTGGAATCTTGTGATTCTTGATTTTAATGCTTATTTTCTTTGAAAAAAATCAGGAAACTAGGATTCTTTAAAAAGAGTAAAGAGTTAGGATATCTAGGAATTAAGTCTTGATTAATTTAAGGGAATCGATTGGAAATATAAAAAGGGTGTTCAACTAAGGTTTTTAATTCAGAACAAAAAGGGAGATTGAGAAAAATTGAATCCCTAACTACACTCTTCTTGATTGTTCAAATTTTTATCATCGCATTCTTGATTTGCTTTTAATTTATTAGTTGCTTTTATTCAACTCTCTTGATTGAATTGTCCACCTTAAGCGAAATAGTGAATTAGTGCTTGAAATCTAATCATCTGGGAATAATACTCTTATCCATTACTTATTATTTGTGTTGCACTTATCGAAATAACAACAAATAACATTTCTAATTTATTAACATTTAATTTTAATTTATGGACCAACAATAAAATATATGCATCGTGTGTGTGTAATGAACACATTATGTCAAAATATTTTATGTCATATGAACACATTATGTCAAAATATTTAATAATATATGAAGAAACACATAACATATGATGAGTTAGACTTTTTAAAACTTTTAAGATTAACAATCAATTTATTCCCCAATTATTATGTATACTTGGGAGGGGATTATCGTGACATCATTGTCGTAAAAAAAGGTATACAACATTTAAAAAAAAAAGGAATTTAAAATTTTTTTATTGTTTTGGTCGAGTTGCTTGAAAATTGTGGTCACGCACATATTTGTCAACTGTAGAATTGCAAAGCACATAGCTCTGATTACGAACTATAAACATTATTCCAAGCTTCCCCGGTAAGAAAGTATAAGGGATTGACTATCCTCGTGTGCATTTCAACTTTATATCCTTATATCTGCGGGGGAAAATGTCAATTTTGTTTCTCTTGGAATGCTATAGGGTCGGGGAATATTGGATTGGATATGCCCACAGCGGTTCTTTCTCCCGCGTCTCAATGCCCTCCCTTTTTCTATAAATTTTGTTCTCTTTCTCTAGGCATATCTGATGCAGCGTGAAATATAACCTGTTGTAGGCATATAAGCAATGTTGGAAACCGGATCGCCTCGCCATCTACCCGAAAATTGATGCATCGGTCATATAATTGGTCTGGTTTTTGTGTTGAATCAATCATGTTATAGAATCAGTGCGATTCAATGTGACTCGGCCAATTTTTGTAAAAACCAGTGACCTGGTCGATTCAACCAGTGACACGGCCTGGTTCATAAAAAAAAAAAATCTTGTTTGTTCTGACCAATTTGTCTTTCTTTTTTTTCACTCACACACAAATGGTTTGTTTTACTTTAAAACATTTGAGTGATCTATTGTTTATTGACTTACATAGGTTATGTACCTATAACACTAATATTATCTTGATTATGCAATATGCAGAGAATTTTGATTTGATTTATAAAGATGCCATCTACTGAACCTAAAGCACCAGTATCACAAGTATTATATGTTTGATTGACTTTTTATTGGACAATGATGTGTAATTTATTGTTTTTCATATTAAAATATTTGGAATTGGTATCATTTTTTCCAAGTATATGAATTTATAGTTTTTTTATATAAATTATAGATTTACATATAACTTATCGGGTCATGCGGTTAGTAACTCTGTACCTCAATCGGATCAAAAACTAATTCGGGTTTAATAACATTGCATTTAAGTTAAGTTTGGAATCATGCTTTTAGATTCTTTTTATTCTATAAGCTTAACTATAAATTTAGGTGGCTAATACATTTTTATGAAATATTATTTTTATGAATATTTTATAGTTTGAAAATATAATCATTCTTTATTGTATATTAATTTTATAAAAAAAAATAGTTTTTATTAATTTTAAATTTTTATTTTAAAATCAAAATAAAAATAGAAGAATATACTAAAGTAATTTGGTGATAAATACATTTTGAGAGTTGAGGATTTTGAGGATATATGCTCCGGTTCATTCATAGAAAACCAATTTATATGCAAGTCATCTCGTGGAAGGGAATACTGTGCCATTACAACCTCTTCAAATATACTTGAGATAAAGAAGATCAAACAAGTGTATGTAGCAAGGAGCATCTAGAACTAATGCATAAATTACTTCAACAAATTATGCAAAATGATGGAACAAGTA